CCCCCCACTTGCTCCCGCGGCTCCAGCTTGGAGAGCGGGGTCTGTTGTAGCAACCCCTGGAGGCGCCGGGGCGCCCAGAGCCGCCCCGCCCCACAGCCGGCTGTGTAGCTCGCGAAACCCCCTCCCCCAGCAGCCAGCGGACCAGAAAGTCCCTTCACGTTGTAAAGCCCGGCTCATTTTGCGTGATTATCTCTAACGTGGCCGGCTCCCACCCTGGAATATTTTAACAGGATTCGGAAGCAGAGCCTGGGTGCACAGGAAGATAGCACAGGAAAACTTTGTACCTGGGCAGCTCGCAGGCTGCTGCTTCCCAGGCCGCCAGGTCTGGGCGCCTTCCGCTTAGGAGTGTGAGACCTGTCTCCTATGACTGCCCCGCTAGCCAGGCCAAGGCCGCAAAGGTCGGGTGGGAGTAAGAGAAAAGAGCCTCTGCTCGGAGGAATAATCCTAGAGGCCAAGCAGCACCCTCTGGAGTGGCCCAGGGATCCTATTTTACCCAGGACTCCGGAATTTCCGGCCTTGCCAAAGCCCAAAAGAGCCTTTCAGGAGCCTCTGCCCCTAGCTTGGAGCTCTGGCATGGTCCCCGGTCCCTGTGTGCTCCCGGGCTAGAACTCCTCCAGACACAGCTAACTTCACCTCTTGAGAGCTGTGTGTCCTGTATTTTACAATAATGTGGAAAGGGAGGGCATCTCCTGCCACCAGGATCTTCAGTCTTCACGGTTTGGGCTGGAGCTAGAGGTCCCTTACCAAAGTCCAACCTGGAGCACTAACACTAGGCAAAAAATCCGTACTCCCCTCTCGAAGAATAAATACATGTGTGTATATGTGTTTTAAAGTCAATCTTATGGGACATGCCTGAGAGATTTGCATGTGCTGGTGACTTCAACATACCAAAGGCAAAGTTAAATATTTGCTCTAGATACTTTTTTTTTTTTGGCTTGCATAATTGTCCCACATTTCAAAGAAGTCTTTACAAGCACTTAGATTTGAAAAAAGAAAAAGATTGTGTTTGGGACCTGAATATTTCAGGACATGCATGGAGTAAATATTGTAATTCCTTGAGGGAGTTCCTAGCTGCAAACTTCTTTCTCTCCTCTGTTTCTTAAGCATGTGACTTGATAAAATATTTGTTGAATGAATAAAGGAGGCATTCCATTAAATGCTCATAATCCCTAAAACAGGAAGAAAGAAGCTTAACAGGATCTTACAGGCTACCGGGAGGGATGGTCAGCCCAGCATTCTGATGTTCTTTGGGTTTGTCAGGAACACATTCAAGGTGTGGGTGTGGGCTCCACTTCCCCATGACTTGGTCAGCCCCCCATCCCAGAGAAAGAGGATCATCTAAGTGAATGTGGGGTGTTTGCCCTACAAACCCAGCTCAGAGCCACATCCCCAAGATATTACCCTTCTGCCACCAGAGCCCCCACCCCATCCCGTTCCAGGTCTCTAGAGCCACGGCTGAACATAGCAAGGAAAGTGGCTGGGCAGAATTCAGCTGTAAACAGTTTCTGCTGTCCCCACAGAAGGCACAAGGGTCAGCACCTTGCTATTGTAGTCAATAAATACTTTCTTAGGGACCTAGGCCTCAGCCCGCCTGTCCATCCAAGTGACATCCCCAGACCACCCCCTCCAGTGCTTCTGCCCTGTTTGTTGTCCAACAGAAGCAGGCTGTGACGAGAGCCCATAGCTTGACATTTAAGGACAGGATCCTGCCTACGTCCCAGTTTCTTTGTGTCTGTTTAGAGCTATCCAGTCCAACCTTGTACAAAGTTTAAGCCACATCCTTTTGATTCTTTAACAACTTCATATAGAGTGGCTCAGGGCCAGATCACATTGCAGCAGGTAACTGCCCTGACCTCAGGCCCCAAGAGGTGTTCCACATTGGGGGAGAACCCAGCTCTTTCCCAGCCTCAGACTCCACTGAATCATTGCTCACTTGAGACAGCCTCATTCAGAATTCTCATTTTAGGTGGCCCCACCACTGTACACACCACTGAGCACCTTGCTTTTGTTTCAGCTTAGGAAAGTAGAAATTGCCCTTTTTGCTTCTTGGTTTCAGAACTCCTGTTTCTGTTTTGGCGAGGTGTCTTCCCTGGGTTCCCTACATGTATGATGCTATAGAAGGAAAGGCTGAAGGAGAATGTGTACAGAAGGAGGTCATGATTCCAGGGTATCATTTTTCCTCTTTTCTTGTAAATCCTGAAAGCTGCAGCTGTTTGTCACAATGTTTATGGACCACAAACTACAACTTCCCAGAAAGAGGAACCATTTCACAGAGAGCTAGAAACTGGGATGTCATACTGTGAAAGGATGCAAAACATAACTCCCTTTTCTGTCCTGGGAAAAACATGATAAATATTTTGTGGCTTAGATTAACCTAGATGCTCATCGCCTTCAGCTGCAGTCCCTGTCTGGCTTGTGTCTAAAAGCTCCTGGGCTCAGGCTTCCATACAGAGGCCAGCGGTTCTTCAGACAAAGGTGCTCAGACTGCCTGAGCTGGCATGACCTGGATTGGCTCCTCTGCTTACACATGAGAAGCTGGTGTCTAAGCAAGGGACGACACTTGTCCAGTGACATGAAGTCAGGCCAGGTAAAAAGTCAAGCATGCACAGATGAAGCCAGGTAAAGGCAGGTGTGCACAAGTAAAAGCAGGTGCTCCAGCAAGCACATCTGCCCCATTCCCTTGTCCCTGCCAAGTTTCCCTATGCTTTTGCAGTCTTTTCAACTTGTTTTCCATTACAACAAAAGCTCTTTCCTTCTTATTTCCCCACATTAAATATGTATATAAATATAATATAAACATATACTCATTTCTCCATAATTTCATGACAGTTTCTAGCTCCGTCACATAGACCTCATAGTGAAAATAGTCTCAGATTTTGCAAATTCTCTGCAGATATGCCTCCCATGTTTCACCTCTTGTGTCTTACACAGACATTTATTACTCTCCACTAATTTTCCATGAGCTTACTTTCCATGGATTTGTTCCGAAGGCCTCCTGTCACTTCATCTGAACATAAGAGCCAAGAGACTGTAACTAGGAGAGTGGAGAGGTGGTTGAAATCTCCCGGAAGCTGAGATAAGAGGGTCTGGTCTCAAGTTTTTCCTGGAGGCTGCCGGGAGTAGCGGGCCAGACAAAGGAGCAATTGGGCTTCCATCTAGCTGCAGCGCCTTTTCCTGTACCTTGAGTACTCTGTCTTTCTTCCTCCCTCCAGGATAAATCCCAGGCCTTCTGCTGGTCCAAGTCAGCCTGGGGATCGAGGTGTTGATGCCTCAGGGGCAGCCTCTGTCCATGAGGAAGCAGAGTGGTGGCAGAGGGGAGATGCCCGGCTCTGCCTAACAGTCCTACAGAGGGGCAGGTTGTAGCTTCTCAGAGGTGCCTTTGGAGCTTACAGCAGAGACCTAAACAAGACGCTATTTTGGGAATCCCCTCCTCTGCAGTCCCTGCTCCATTCACTCCTTTCCGGGGGTCACCTTTTCATGTACAGCAAACTGCAACCATGTCCTTATTTAGGCAAAGCTTTCAGAGGACATCAAAATAATATAAAAATGCTCTTGTGCTTTTGTGTGAAGCTATGGATCAGACACCCAGAGTCACCCTGAAGGTGACAAGCATTGAGACTAAAAGAACTTCACAGAAGCAAAAGGGTTTGGCTGTCATGAAACCAAATCTGCAATGTGATGCTCTTAGTGGAAAGGGAACACATAAGAGGTTCCCATGGCAAACAAA